ACAAGCAACCCTCTGGCCTAGGCCGGATTACTTGTGACTTTATTGTGAAAGAAGTGCGTTGGTTGTCCCCTTCGGTTCCCCTTTAGGGGATGAAGAGCGTCCTAGCTTAACTTTACTAGGTTAGAGCTACTCATTAAACTACGATAAACCACAAGACTTGTGTTTTCGTTGTAAGAACTACATTTTTATCTTAATAAGCAAAAAACGTTATTATAAAATTAGAAGTTCATTTCTGCTAATTGAACTTTTTCAAATTGTTTTTTCTTAAGAACTAATAAAATTTGTGTAATTAAAATAAAACTAAAGAATACTAATAAACCTTGAATACGAGCTGGGTTTTGTAGTACAATTTCAGTTTCAGCTTGACCAAAACCACCTACATTCGGGTTATTTGTTAAAGGTTGATCTGCTTGGACGTTTTGGCCTTCTTTAACAATTAAATCTGGACCTGCTGGAATTTTATCGATAATAGTTTCACCATTTGCTTTTTCAATTGTGATTTCATAACCACCTTTTTTCTCAATAGGAGCAATTGCTACAATTTTACCAGCCGCTGATGCATTATAGATAGTGTTGTTTGATTTTTTACCATCCGGATAAACTTGACCACGGCCACGGTTACCGCCAAAGTAAATAGGATATTTTAAAAAAGAAACGTTTTTATTTTTAGCAGGATCTGGGGATAAAATAGGAACTACCATTTCGCTGTATTTTTTGCCTGGTACTGGACCTACAACTAANATATTTTTTTGTTCTGGACTGTATGGTTGGTAGTAAAGATTACCTACTTTTTTCTTGATTTCTTCAGGAATACGATCTGGTGGCGCCAATTCAAAACCTTCTGGAAGAATTAAAACATACCAACATTAAATCACCTTTTTTACCATTAGCTAATACTTGTTTGACTTGTTTATCATATGAATTTCAATAACCGCTTCAAATACTGTATTCGGTAAAACAGCTTGAGGAACTTCAATTTCAACAGGTTTNTGAGCTAAGTGACAGTTAGCACAAACAATACGACCGTTTGCTTCACGTGGGTTTGCGTAGTTTTGTTGTGCAAAAACGGGATACGCTTCTGCGGGATTTACCGCTAGAATACCAACAACACCTAACATAGCAGCTAAAAAAGCTGCGCGCACAGCAACTAATTTTTCTTTAACCATAGATTTTATTAATCTCTAAAACTAAACTAGAATAAAACGGTTTACGATTTGTTTTAGATATCGCAGCTCTTCCCCGAAGGGGGACGCACAAAGCACTTCCCCTTCGGTTCCCCTTTAGGGGATGAAAAGCTTGGCTAGCTTGTGACATAAGGTAGTCGTTAAGATTATGAAAGCAAATCGATTAAGTTACAAATCCCTTGTAAAAAGCTAAACTATCCATTCGTAGTCCGGATAATAAAACTATCTTCGAGCTTTGTCCGTCGTTGTAAAGTAAGTTCGTTGGATACCTTACAGTAAGTTATAGGCCTCCGGCCGAAACTACAAAATTACAGCGTGCCCCTTCGGGGTTGTCTTCCCCTAAAGGGGAACAAACTTTGGAAACCCTTTAGGGGATGAACTAAAGGTAATGACAAGGGATTACCCTTCGGTCCCCTAGGGGATCACTTCGGTTTTCATAAAATAAAGAACAAGTAGGGACAACCCCTTTGGTTCCCCTTGTCATCCGTCATCCCCCAAAGTCTTCTTCTTCTTCTTCCCCGTTAGTGTTCGTCTTCTTTAGTTCGTCTTCTTTAGTTCCCCTAAAGGGGATGAACCAAAGGGGTGCTCTC